AGCCAATAACTAGGGCTCCAATGGGCATTTTTAGAAACTTAAAGGCGGGTGGAGAGAAGCTGCTTAGAGGCCCATTTCACAGATGAGGAAACTGAGGCTGCATCTCCCTGCCTGAGCCACACAGCGGTGACCAGGTAAAGGGCCCTTCAAAGCTCACCCGCTCAGCTCCACCTGAGGCCTAGGACCCCGGCCGCAGCTGATTCAGTTGATTAAGGGGGTCGTCGGGGCGGGAAAGCAGGTGGCAAGATCTGCCATCTTTGAAGCAAAGCGTGATCGATCCCCAACTCTGCTTGGACACTGTGCTTGGCACTACCCCTCAAGCGTCTCAACTAAGAAAGCCCCCTATCCCAGAGTTGGAGGACAATTTCAAGGGAACCCCCAAATCTGGGGGGTGGGGCTCCACCAGCTAGGGAATGCCCGGGCAAGGAAAAGGGGGCCCAGCCCTCTCCCGCCCACATGGTAACCGGTCAGACCGGTTCCTGGGGCCCCAGCCAGCCCCTGACCCTTTAACCCTGCCCCTCCTCCCCCAGAGCAGAAAACCAGACAGCACCGGCCTTTTTACTCAAATGGTCTTTATTTTCCTGACATTTCTAACAAAACGCCAGGTTAGACGGAATTAAAAAGAATCCACCACAGGAAAGGTAAACAGACCCTCAAAAACTCCCTGTCGAAGATGTCCCCCTCCCCAAACTAGCCCAGTTTCACCAGCAACTGGTCCCAGCCCAGCCTTATGCCTTTCCACTGCCACCCCTCACCCCTCCATAGTCTCGTGATTCAGACCATCTGGGTTGTGTCCGTGTCTGAGGTAGGGGCACGCTGGAACCTGGGGAACCTCCTAGCCACCCCTAATGCACCAGATGAGAAAATTTTCAATGTGAAACTACATTAGCCCCCGCTCCCACCCGAGGTGCAGAGGCGCGGGACGTCAACCAGCAGCACGCGGGGGTGAAGTGACTCAGGCCACTCTCCTCCCACTCTCCAGGGTGGGTCTACGCACCAGATCCTCCTCCCAGGCCCCACACCCACGCAAGGCGACAGGAAACTCCCCAAGCCTGCCCCATGACGCAACGATGACCGTTTACACAAGTATGTCAGTGGAGGGGGAAGGGGCGCGCCAGGAATTCTGAGGTTGGAAACGCAAAATCAACTCTTGAAAAACCTTCAAAGGGCCAGCACAGCCCCCAGTACAAAATGAAGTCCGACCCTGAGATCTTAAAAAACAAAAAAACCCAAGCCTCCCTTCTCCCAGTCCAGGAGAGTGAAAGGTCCACTTCCCAGTCCACTAAGACAGCACCTGTGGGCGCAGCAGGTCTCTGCGGAAGGCGCCCGCGCCCCCGGCTCAGACTCCTCGGTGCCGTCGCTGCACACTGAAGGCGACGACTCCCTGGGGACAGAGTCCCTCTCCGGGCCTCTCAGCAGCCCGGGCGGCGGCTTCTCTCCACGGTTTTCGCGGGCGCTCCCGCCGGGAAGGAGGGGGTGACCTCGCCTCCGGTCTGCGCCCTGGGGCCTACGGTTCGACGCGCGCTCTGGGCTCCGGCAGCGCCGCTCGGGGTCCTCAAAAGGCCACCACCGCCCGCACCAGCACGTTGAGCATGCTGTCCGCTGGACGACAGGCGGGCTTTGCCTCGCACGCGGGCGGCGCCGTCGGAGGGGCTGCGGGGCTGCAGTTCAGGAGGCCGGAGAAGCGCCTCTGCAGGACGCGGGCCAGGTTGGGAAAAGCGCCCTCCGCTTGCGCCAGAGGGGGCTGCAGGCGATCGGCGACTTCGGATGACACCCCCTCCTCTTCCTCCTTTTCTTCCAGACGGGCTTTCTTGATCGGGACCAGTCCGGCGTCCCCGCCGTCGCTCAGGCTGCTGCTGCGTCGTTTGCGGCTGACTTTGGCTGGGCGCGGGGCACAGCAGGCGGGGATCTCCTCGGCAGTCGGCGCCTCCTGAGTGTCCATGGGCTCCGGAGACGGCTGCTCGCCGTCAGCGGTCGCTGTCTCGACCGTGGACTCGACTTCCCGGGGCGAGTGCAGGCGAGGGTCAGAGGGGCGGGCGGGCGGCAAGGACACCTCGGGTTCGAGGGCCTCCACCTTGGCGGAGAGGTAGAGTTCCCGGGCGCTGCGCATGACCAGCGACAGCTGCAGACTCCGGTGCAGCCGCAGGCCACCGCGCTGCATGCGAGAGTGATACATCTTCCACACCGACAGGGTCATGATGCGCTGTGCCTCCTTCTGCACTTCCATGGCGACTCGACGGCGACGGCAGCGGGGACTCCCGGGACGGATAGGACAGGCGGCAGGTGCACTCCAGACAACGGGCTCGCTAACGCGTCTCCCCACGAACCAACCCACGCAGTGACACTGCCAGGACGCTCTGCCCCGGCGCCCGCCACTCGGGCCCTTTTATACCCCCAGTGATGTCACTGAGAAGCCCCGCCCAATCCGAGGGACGCATCCGGGCTTTCCAACTAAACGCGGCCAAACATTCCTTAAAGCGACAGAATGCGATTTACCCAGCAGGGAAAGGGAACGGGAACCTAGGCGAGGAGGAGCATCCCCCCACTCCACGCTCAGCTCTCCGGTGGGCTCCTTTTTTTGAGCCCCGCCTGCGCGCGTTGGCCCAGGGTAGGGGGTCCGGGGATGGGGCTCAGGGGCCCACCCACATGCTCGCCGTCTGGAGGCCCCAGTGGCTCGTGGGCGACAAGTTTCCCTTCACACAGGGGAAGACCCGGCTTCCAGCCTGAACATCCCCGGTAGGCACTGTTCCTAGCATTTACCAGGTGTGTCTAATGAGTGTTTTCTGCACCAATAATCATGCTAACAGCTCTTACTACTTGCCAGGCGCGGTTAAGAGCGCTCCCTTTATCAATAACTCACCGATCCCTCACCTCCACTCCGCGGAGGACACTGTCCTATCTGCTTCCTTCCAGTGGGGAAACCAAGGCAGAGTCACTGGGCCAGTATATGCTAAACAAACGATATTTGCTACTGCTGTGAAAGGAGGCCACTGGGGCCTCCAGCTCTTCGGTCTCTGGAGTACGCCAGCCCTTGTTTGTAAGCGGCGAGCCGCCCCGGGCTGCGGGTTTCCGTGATTCCTACCAAGCCATCCCCCCGCAGCTTCCCGCGAAAGAAGCTCCACGGGTGGGTTTGGAGGAACCCGGCGCGCACGACAGCCCCCGTCAACACGTGGCTGCCGCCCCCCGCAGACTAGGGTTCCGAGTTCCGCCTCCGCGCCCCGGGAGGCGGGGTTCGGTTGGGAGCTGGAAACCCAGCAATGCAGAGACAAAGCAGGTAGAAAACCTCCCCCTACCCTCCGCTACGCTCCGTCTCTCCAAGAAATCCTAATTCCAATTCCTCCAAAAAAGGATGAAAAATTGTTCGAATGGCTCCATTCATTCCTGATACGGGCCCTTTAAGGAGTGGCGCGCCCCCCACTTTCCGCCCGCACTGGCTCGCAGCGCCTTCCCGCCACCGGCGCCCGCTGACTTCCACAACTAAATTTGGACGGAGTGACGTAGGACAGTCGCGCGGTCCGCTTCCGGTTGCCCATATTAGGACAGGGCCTGTGATCGCCATAGCCGGCGGCAGGGGGGCTTCCGGGCGGGCGAGAGGGGCGGGGCTTTGCGCTCCGGCCACGCCCCTCCCCTCCCGCGCCCGGGCAGCGGAGCCCCAGGCTTCCTGACCCGCATCCAGCCGGGTGGGAGGGAAGGAGAGTTTCACTTCCTTCCCTCCCGGGGCCAGGAAGGCGTAACGCCGAGAAAGCACCCCGCAGCGGGTAGGGGCGACCTCAGGGCTTCCACGGACGCCATCTCACAGAGACGCTACAGAACGACCCTGCATACACAAGAGACGACCCGCTGAGGCCCCCTCATCCCTCTTTCCCCTTCCCAATTATTTCCCCCATACAAAGCCCCTTCCCAGGTTATCCTTGTCCCCCGCCCCACAGTCATCTGTCTTGGGACACCCTCCCGTCCCGCCCCGCAGCTGGGGACTCAAGAATTATCCCCCCCAAAACACCCTTCCCAAACTTGTCCCCATTCAACGAAGCTGCTACACTGCAGCCACTTGCGGAAGACGCCCCCGTCCCCGCCTCCCTAACCTTACCACTGAGACCCCCACAATGACTTCCGCAGCCCAGGCACTATGTCTGAGAGCCCACGCAGCAACTCTGACGCGCAAGGGGGCGACCCTCCGAGGACTCCCTCAGACAACTCGCCCACCCTCCAGGGGAAACCAGGCCCCCCACCACTCAAAACGTGTTTTCCCGAGACTCCCCTTACCACCCAACACACAGAGCGCCACTGTCACACATAGAGTGACACTATCACACATAGAGTGACACTATGAGTCCCTTCGCTGATACTCCTGGCCCCTACCCTGAGGGAGACCATCCTCAAAGCCACCATCACACCTCTCGAGACCCCCAGGCTCGAACCCAGAAAGACTCCGCGCTTCTGATGAAACCCAACACCACGCACGCTCTTCAGGATGACCTTCCCCCGCCCCTGGCATCTCTGAGACCCCCACTCAAGACGACCTCGCCCCAAGGCGACCTCGAAGTGCCCTCAACTCCCCCACTTCTCAGGAAAGAGACAGGGAGAATGCAGCAGAACTCCCCACAGAAGCAGGCCCGCTCCTCACTCCGCCCCCGCGGGGAGAAGAGAGTACCGCGTCTCCCATACACCATGCCCAAACCTGAAACTCGGGACCCTGGACTGGGACGATCTCCGAAGTGCCAGCTTAGGGAGTCCATGAAAAGATTCAACGAATCGAATGAACCCCTTCCCCAGCCATAATCCCCAGCCGTCAGAAATAAGGGAGGCTATCATTATTTACATTGCCCATGCTAGGAAAGGAAACTGAGGTTGCGCAGCAACAATCCGAGGGAATGGGTCTCGAACCGAGATTCCGAACTCGGATCCAAACAGGCTCAACCAGAACTCGGACACCGCCCTCTACGGGGCGGCACAAGAGGGCCAAGGGGCGGAGCATGTGGACCGGAAACTGCCTCTGCCCACAACTAAGATGGCTGCGGAGAGAGCGGAAGTGCCCGCACATCGGGCCTCCGAGGCCTCTCTTTCTCCCCTGGCGGCCCCGCTCTCGATGGTGACGTGAAGCGGGCGGGGGCGGCAGCGCGTTCTCAGCTGCGAGGGAACCAGCCCGCGAACCCAGGCCAGGAGGGGGTTCGACCTGGGGGGGAGGAGGACTGACATGTCTCTCGAAGACCCCTTTTTTGTAGTCCGAGGGTGAGTGACAGCGACGGGGGAGGGCGGAGGGTGCTCCGTCCCCAAGCCAGCCAGTGCCCGGGTGCTGGCCCCAGCATGCCAGGCGGGCTGGGCAGGGCCGTCGGGGTGCAGAGTGGGAGGCGCACGCAGGGGGATACTGGGGTCTCCGGAGTCCCCCATGCGTTTGGGTTTGCAGTCGGGGGCAGAGGCGGGCGGAAGGACCGCCTGCCCCCAGCCGCGCCCGCCGTGCCCCTGCCCGCAGCGAGGTGCAGAAGGCGGTGAACACGGCCCGCGGGCTGTACCAGCGCTGGTGCGAGCTCCTGCAGGAGAGCGCGGCGGTCGGACGGGAGGAGCTGGACTGGACGACCAATGAGTTGCGGAATGGCCTGCGCAGCATCGAGTGGGACCTCGAGGACCTGGAAGAGACCATCGATATCCTGGAGCCTTGGGGCGGGGGTTGGCATGGGGGAGCCCCCTGCGGTGGTAGGGGCCTGGGAGCTCGCCCTCGGGGAGGGCCGGACCCCTAGGGAGGGTGATGATGTCTGACTCTGGCCTTGACCCTTGACTCTCAGCCCACGCATAGTGGAAGCCAACCCAGGCAAGTTCAAGCTCCCGGCCGGGGACCTGCAGGAGAGAAAGGTGTTCGTGGAGCGGATGCGAGAGGCCGTCCAGGTGAGTAGAGGTCCTGCAGGGAAGAGTGGGGGAGGTGTGAGTGTCTTTTCTTTTTGAGATGGATTCTCACTCTGTCGCCCAGGCTGGAGTCCAGTGGTACAATCTCAGCTCACTGCAACTTCCGCCTCCCGGATTCAAGCGATTCTTGTGTCTCATTCTCCTGAGTAGCTGAGAGTACAGGCGCCCGCCATCATATCTGGCTATCTTTTGTGTTTTTAGTTAGAGACGGGGTTTCACCGTGTTGGCCAGGCTGGTCTCGAACTCCCGACCTCAGGTGATCCATCTAATTTGGCCTCTCAAAGTGCCGGGATTACAGGCATGAGCGACACCCAGCATGAGTGTCTTTCCTCCCTAATGCTGTCTTCACCTCCAGGAAATGAAGGACCATATGGTCAGCCCAACAGCCGTAGCCTTCCTGGAGAGGAATAGCAGAGAGGTAAGCCTTCCTGATCCACCCTGCCCACCTGAGCACCTGGGGGTGACCACACCGTTGAGTACAAGCCAGATCCCTCTGCATGTGTTCACCTGTCCCTTCTGTGACAGTGCCCATCCTGTGTGCAGTTGTCTTCTTGCTGTCCACCTGCCTGCACTTTCTGGGCGTGTGCACCTGAACCTCTCTGTGTGTATGTGTCCGTGGGCTCCTCTCTACTGTCTCCTCTGGCTCTATACTGGTTTCTTATTGCAAAGGAGGGCTGGAGGCCTGTGTACCTATCTCCTTTCTGCTTCCGTGCCATTTGTCCTGTATGCAGCTGTTTCCAGGATGTATGCCTGCCTTTTTCTCTCTCTTTCCCTTTTTTTTTTTTTGAGATGGAGTCTTGCTCTGTTGCCCAGGCTGGAGTGCAGTGGCGCGATCTTGGCTCACTACAACCACCACCTCCCGAGTTCAAGTGATTCTCCTACCTCAGCCTCCTGAGTAGCTGGGATTATAGGCGTGCACCACCACACCTGGCAAATTTTTTGTATTTTTAGTAGAGACAGGGTTTCACGTTGTCCAGGCTGGTCTTGGACTCCTGACCTCAGGTGATCTGCCCACCTTCACCTACCAAAGTTCTGGGATTACAAGCATGAGCCACCATACTTGGCCTGCTTTCTGCATTTTACAGATGAAGAAACTGAGGCACAGAGAGGTCAAATGATGGGGTCCCTGGGTCACCTTGTTAGTAAGTGGTGAGTGAGGATTGCAGGCTGTCTGGCGCCAGAGTCTGCCTCCCTGACTCACCACCATGGGGACTTGCCTCACATGCCCCGCTACGAGTTGGTGTCCCTCCCCAAATCTACATTCTGTGCCCCTGCAGATGCTGGCGGGCAAACCAGCTGCCCAGAAGTCACCCAGTGACCTGCTGGATGCTAGCGCCGTCTCGGCCACATCCCGCTACATCGAGGAACAGCAGGCCACACAGCAGGTTTCGGGGCAGGATGGGTAGATCCTGAGAGGGAGGAGCCTTGCAGACCCATCTGAAGTCTGAGGTCCCCTTCTTTCTCTTCTTCTTCCTTTTCTTCTTCTCCCCTCCCCCATCTTTCTCCCCCTTTTCCTTCTTTCTCTTCTCTCCTCCTTCTTCTCCTCCTACTCCCTCCCTCCTCCTCTTCTCTAACTCCTGCCCCTTCCCCTCCCCCCTCCTTTCCTTTTTTATTTTTTTGAGATGGAGTCTTGCTCTGTGGCCCGTGCAGAAGTGCAGTGGTGCAATCTCAGTTCACTTCAACCTCTGCCTCCCAGGTTCAAGTGATTCTCCTGCCTCAGCCTCCCAAGTAGCTGAGATTACAGGCACCCACCACAATGCCTGGCTAATTTTTTTTTTTCTGAGATGGAGTCTTGCTGTGTTGCCCAGGCTGTAATGCAATGGCACGATCTCAGCTGACTGCAACCTCTGCCTCCTGGGTTCAAGCAATTCTCCTGCCTCAGCCTCCCAAGTAGCTGGGACTACAGGTGTGCTCCACCATGCCCAGCTAATTTTTATATTTTTAGTAGA